CTCTCCAACACCCCCCTCCTCCCCCCCTCACCCTCCTCGCTCGCTCACCCCGCCCTTCTCCCGCTCAACCAAAACCCAAAATCCACCACGCACACCACTCACCTCCCTCATTCCCCGCCCCTACGATCAAGAATCCCCTTCAACCTACTCCGTAGCGTATCCCCAGCGATCCTTTTCCAGCGCTTGGAGGGTCATGAGATCAAGTAGTATGTATACGTTGCATCTTCGCTATTTCCCCTCTAACCTCATCCCCTCATCCCCTTCCCTAACACACCCATTCATAAACCCCTCAAATCCAAAATCAAACACCCCCTCAAAGGACTCTCAAAAGGCATAGGAAAAACAAAAATCTCCCCTCCTAATAAATATACCTCACCCTCACCCTCACCTTCCTCTCCACACCCCTCACCCACTCACCCATAAATCCAGTTTATCAAGAATAGTACACGATAACACCTCTAACAAACCCCCTCGCTTCCTATTAACGTAAGATTACAGTAGAACAGGATTCTTGCTCTCCTCTCCTCCTCATCTCCCTCTCCTCCTCATCTCCCTCTCCTTCTCTCCTCCTCATCTCCCTCTCCTTCTCCTCTCCTCCTCATCTCCCTCTCTTCTCCTTCTAGATCTGAGGATGGTGAAGGGGTATCAATACAAAACCTTACAATCAGTAAGTAAATAAAGCCAAAATCCAGATCTTGAAACGGAGTTCGTACAGTAGGGGAGGTCGTTGACCAACGAATGAGAGTCTTGAGTTCATCTCTATGTTTTTCTTTTTTTCTTTCTTCTCTTTTTTTTTCTGGATTTTAAGTTCAACTGATTATAGGTAGGTAGGTTCTCTACCGCTTCATTCTTTCACTACTTTCACTTCGCTTGCAATCTCTCGTCATGGCGCCCTACCTATTAAACACCCACCCACCTACCTACCTACCTACCTCCTAATGCAAACCAAACCCCCAACTCCCAAACCCCCAATTTCAAAACAAGAAATCTTCATTTCCATTTCAATTTCTCGAACCCATCCACAAATACACCACTACACAAATACACCACTACACAAATACACCACTACACAAATACACCACTACACAAATACACCACTACACAAATACACCACTACACCAACCCTCAACCCTCGTCACTCGTTAGTTCCTCATCTATATGTAGTTTTCCGCAGCCTATCCGACATATTCGACGTGGACGTGCCGCTCGCTTACAGTAAAGCACTGGGATGATTGATGGTGGGGTACGATCTGGAAGGGGTATGCGAGGGGTATGGGGAGATTTATGGTTTGTTTTTGAGAGAGATTCGGGAGTGTGGTTTGGGGAGTGTGGTTTTGCTACGTTGGTGGGGGGTTGTTGATCTGGATGGGGAGATAAGGAGGGGTGGGGGGAGATGGTGATTTGTGATGGAAGTTCAAAGTTCCACAAAAAGATGAGATGGGTGGGCATGAGATTGGTGAATATTACTGAAATACTTGAGAGAAACAATTGAAATTCCTATAAAGGTCTCGAATTACGTTCCCTCGGTTAAACTCTAATTACTGTTTACAGACCGCCCGCTGGTGGTACATAAGGCTTAATGAGCATCTCACTAAACATCTCCAATCTATCCTTCCCACGTACCTCCTCCACCAACAACGGCATCTTGACCACATTGAAATCCTCATATAACTCTGCAATCTGTCCGAGATACTTCTTCTGCATCTTTCGTCGCGCATTACATTGATCACACTCGCTGCCCGCCTTGGGGAACAAAAGCTGGTTGACAACAATACAATGTGTATCGATGTGGTAGTTGGCAAGCTCTTGGATCATACGCTCGGTTTCGTAGAGTGATAGGAATTCGGGTATGCAGACACAGACGAATGTGGTCAGGTTCTCGTCTTTGAATTGTCCGTTTACTTCGCTGATGGTTTCTCGTAAACCTTCTAATTTCTCCATCATTTCTGGTAGACTTTGGCCGTTGGGAAGTCCACCATTTGCGCCGAGGATACCATTTAACATGGGACCGAATTGGGAGGACAGAGCGGAAACCTTGGCTAGGGCTTTTTCTAGAACGGTGGGGAATTGAAGAAAGCGGAGCGTGTGGCCAGTGGGTGCTGTATCGAAGATGATGGTCTCGTATGATAGCGATTTAACTTGTTTGAGGACTTCTGCGAAGGACATGGCTTCATCGATACCCGGGATCTATAATCTTGAGTTAGTCACCTCCCCAAGAACTCTAGATATGAGGAAAACATACCGCATAAGCCAAATCCTGCATCATACCACCCGCAGCAGCAGCAGGACCCTCCCCTTCCTCAGCCTGACCGATGAGGTCTTGAATACTGCCGTTGGGATCAATTTCCATGGCGCTTAAATTGGTGTACCCCTCCACGAGTCTGGCCTCTTTGCCAAACTTCTGGGAGAAGGCATCTGAAAGATTATGTGCGGGGTCCGTAGAGATAAGGAGAATTGAACGACGGACTCGAGCAAGTTGGATGGCAAGGGAACAAGAGGTTGTTGTCTTTCCCACTCCTCCTTTACCTCCTACGAAGATCCATCGAAGCGATTTCTGGTCGAGGATGGATTGGAGAGTAGGTTCCAGCTCGTCGTCGGCGCTGACTACGGCGGCAGACATTTTGGTAGTCTTGGAGACTAGAGGGAGAGGCTTGAGGGGGACGATGGATGTGTGGAAGGCGTTGGGAGTGGTTCTTGTACTGTTGGGAAAGTTGTAGTTTCTGGTTGTTTCGTCGGACTTCCAAGTTACGATGCTCGCTTGGCTTCTGATTGGGTGAGTGAATTTTCTTGTGAGAGAGCAATGAGAATACTAAACGATCTAATCAGAAGTATACTTTACTTTTCTCGTGAAAGATTCTATTTCAAACCCAGCTTTCAGTACCTAAATAGACCCTCATTCTGTATTCCCAGACCATCCCATCAGAATTGTTATCAATAGAAGTAGTGCACGTCCCCACAAGGCTGAAAGCGGGCAGCTCCGTATTGCGACAAGGCTACCACTCTCCTCCTCCTATCATTTGGAATCGTGCAAGCTTCTTTCCCCCTCCACTCTGCCACGACAACTACAAATACAAAAACAAACACAACCACCTCTACTCATTTCTCCTCACTAGAATCTCTCTTTCTAAAACTCCTCAATCCAAACCATCCCCAAGTCCCCATCTCACCTCTCAATAGCGCAGAAGATCATCACCACACCCGCCTCATTGCCCCGCACTCTCACACTCCCCAAAAAAGCAAAAACAACCAAACCACCACCCCACCATCCTACCAATCGTCAATATCGCACCATGGCAGAAGCACCCCAAAAAGATCCCATCACCTGCCACGTCCTCGATACAACCACCGGCCGACCCGCGCCTGGTATAAAAGTCACTCTCTATAATCCCACAGTCAAATACGCCTTTAACGCGATCACCAATGAAGACGGCCGAATTTCGAACTGGAGTCAGACAGATTCTGAGGTCGAGCCGAGGGGGAGTGTCCGCGAGACTTTGGAGTGGATAATTCAGAACCACGCTGAGAATGGTGGGAATGAAAATGGTCCAGAGATGGCTTCATGTCCAGTCGAGTCGAGCATTTGGGAGATAGAATTCGATACTGGGAGTTATTACGGTCTCAAGAATACCTTCTTCCCCAAGGTGAAATTGACATTTCTTGTCAAGGAGGGTCAGCACTATCACGTTCCGTTGTTACTTGGGCCATATAGCTTCACAACATATCGGGGAAGTTAGGTATTTTGATTTGCATTTAGTAAGGATATGCAACGCAAAAGAGACAATGACATGTGGAAAATATCGAGAGTGTATCTCATTACAAATAAAAATTGAGGATTTGTGTGTCAATCCGGACGACAGTAAGCTTATAAGCTCTCCATTCTTCCCATTTTTGTCGGCTGTGCCAGACTGCCCTGCCTGTGATACCCCAAACACCAATGCTAAAAATGTTGCAATTTTCTCAGAAAGAGCCTCCGTCATTAATCGTTAACTTTTGCAAGTGCAAATTCTCTAAAACTTGAATTTACTCAAGATCTTCCGTCTTCGGCTGCGACTTTTCGCAGAGTCCTCGGAACTTGAGCTTGATGATCGACTGCGTATGCTTTGATCACTCTTGTCTGAAGAACTTTGTCGGCTACTGTCCATACTATCGATATGTATACCACTATCTCTTTTATGTTTACTGGCGAGTTTGTTTTCCTGTACAGATGTTTCCTCTGCAATACTACTGACATTTGACGTGTCGTACTCGGACATCAAGATCTTTCCATGGCTCGTAGCTTTGCCTTTACGTTTTGAGAAAAAGGACGAAGGATTACGATGTCGTAGTTTTGGGATGTTTTCTGCTGTTATGATTGCATTGGGCCCTATTATGGCTTGTGGATGAGGACGAGTGGTGTTTCTGTCTGTGATATCATCAGTCTTCGCTCCCATGAACATATGCGGTGTGGCTTGAATTACCTCCGCAGAAAGGTTCATGAAAACCAGTCTTGGACACCTCTCTCTTTTCTGGCTCTTGGATGTATTGTCGGCTCATGATGATTATTTTGTCCTTCTTCGTATTACAGTAATCCCCGTCAAAACCGTGAAAGTGGTGAGACACCTCGTACTCTCCGATGTTCCAATATCCACTTCGACGATTCTTCTTTAGTTTTGTGCTGCTGATGCTGCGACGGCGTTCCTGGCGGATCGTGGTTGCAAATTCGTCCAGAAGAAGTGACGATTCTGAGGTACTTGTATGAGACTGGGAGGAAGTTCTGAAGACCATAGTCAGTTCTCTGAAATTACGATGCTCGGTGATCGTCTAGATCTGCGTACAATTTGTCGCAGGGAATGGTATAGAGGAATGAAGGCTTGTGAATGATTGTGGAACAATACAACAATCAACGCTTGAGTCGACAGGTGTTGGTCAAGTATTGTAGTGTTGCTCGATAAGCTTTCATCAAGCGTGTGTTGAAACTCGAAGTTGTCTGGCTCCATCCCAGTCAGAGCACCTCTAGCCATTGACTGCCATGGCCCCAAGCGCCGGGCGTGTGTTTGCCAGCAGATCCCAAATAAGCACAAAGAAATGACTGGTATGACTTACTGTACGAGCGTTGGTGGTGTTGTTGTTGTATGAGGCTCTAGGATTGGAGGTTGAGAAGGACTTTTTGTTGGGTCAAAGGATCCAAAGATATGGAAATCGGGCTGGTGCAGGTGTTGAGCTGATGAAGACCTGGAGGCCCTGAGGATGATCCGGTTTGCAACCTTGACCCCGGATTTATTCAAGACTTGGCAGCACTTTACAACGGCAAGCACGACCCACCAACCCCGCCCGGCGAATTGGAGATGGTTGCCTGGTCCCGGCCGTGTTCGGCCATGGATCATGGGTGATGTCTGGGTCATGGTCCTTCCAGAAGCCCAGCACAGTTCACTGGATGGGCGCAGCATGACGTACTCGGTACACTCCTCACTCGGTGCTTTCCGCGAATCAGCAGAGGCTGAAGCAGCTGCACCAGCCTTCGATGAATCTCGGCCTGTGGGTTTTTGCCATTTTTGCCATAGGTAGTGAATCCAATGAATCCAATGAATCCAATGAATCCAATGAATCCATACTCACGTGCCCAACGGTGGGCTGGCTGGGCTAAGTGTGCAGTGCATCTTGGTGAATCAGAATGCGTATTGTGCTGATTGTCTGGCGTGGCTTTTTGCGGTGTAGAAATCAAAAGTCGATGTGTCTGAAGACTGGAGGGTCTGATTAGGTCGCATGAACCAGTCAGAGAGCTAGAAATGAGCCAGATTGACTTCCGATAAAGAGGTGGCATTCTGACTCGTTTGGTACTGGTTGACACCTGCACTCGAGATGCACTGCTGCAGCACTCTAACTTGAAAGTCAGGAATCAACAGGTGTCAAAATCCATGTGCACGGCTGTTTGGGACATTAGTCGAAGTCCACTGTAAAGTGGTGAGACCATTGCCAGTGACACTTGATCGTCAAGGTGTTTTCCGCGGGCCTACCGTGCTGTAGAATTTGTGTTTTACTTCGACGACCTCTACGGCCCATTTTCTGATTCGCTGGATGTTTTACTTGAATACAACCTTGGAACCCATGGGATGAAGGCATAGCTTTTGATACATGAGAATTGTGCTTACCGAGGGTATTCTCATTTACACCTCGATATATGATCATCAACTTTATGATTATTATGCCGGAACCACGAAATTCAAAGATTGTACAGTATTATTGTAGTGCTGTCAACAACAGCTAACTTTCTCCCTTACATCATCATCATCATCATCATCCTCACATCATCCTCACATCCTCGCAACAATTCCCAAACAGGGTTCACATTCACATTTCCTTCTACTTCTCCTTCCACCCAGCTCACCCAGTCCAGTGTGGACGTCCTATCCTACGAAAGTAAATCCATTCAAGCAATTTCCCTTCCGGTTCGCCAAGCTACAGTAGCACGGAATTTTGGAAGATTTGCCCTGCCAAGAGACCCCGGCCCGACTCGGGATTTTGTTTAGCTGCTGCTTGCGTGGAGATTACCGCTGTCAAAGAGAGGCGTAGCACTTTTGAATTTGGTTGGGGTAGGAAATTTCCGTGTGGAAGGAACATCGGATTTGGATGTTGAAGTGGATGGATGGATGATCTGGTTGTTTCGAAGATGGAAGGTGCAAGGTGGAAGGTGGGAGGTGGAGGGTTTTGGTTTGGGAGGTGCTCTGTTGGTGTATTACTCAGATAGGCATTTTTCGTGGGATTTCAAGTTCTGCGTTATGAAGATGGCCAAATTCGTAGTAACAAATACAGAAGTCCTCTTCTTAGATGGCCTGATTTATGATCTAGACTTTCCAACCAACAGTCTTCATTCTCTTATTCTCTCCAAACAAAATGTTTAGTTAATTACCTCGAAGTATTCATAGCAACCCAAAACCCAACCACCAAAACCCCAAGAATAAACTGTCAGTTCTGACAGAGGTATCAAAGTTGAGTCAATCAGATAGAAGTTTCCATCCTTCCATAAACCCTCACGATATCATATTCCCTCCAAACCCAATCCCATCCAAGCAACCACAACCAATCAGCCACTACAAACCACCTTCCAAACTCGAAAACTCGAACCACGGAAACCTTCCGGCCTCTCCTTCTCAATTCCGTAACTTCGACATAAAAGTGGGTATTCTCTCAAAGATTCGAGGCGAAGCCGCGAAGTCGCTTGAAAAGCGGGTTCTGGTGGGAATTAACCTTATGCATGGTACGCCCAGAGCCCTACGCCAGAACCTGAAGGGCTGGTCCAGCTGAAAAAGTCCCCACACCACTGAAGAGAAGTGGGCGAGAGCTTAGCTTTTACGATACCGGTACTTGAGTCTTGAGGGGTAACGTGAACGTGGCTATTTTTGGTTGGAACTTGGGGGTTGCTTTGGAGTTTGTGGGGGTTTTTGGAGGGTTTGGAGGGTTGATGGGGGGATGTGGTGTGGTGTGATGTGGTGTGATGTGGTGTGATGTGGTGTGAGGGTATGTGTTAGGTTAGGGTTTGATGGTAGGGTGTAAGTAAATCTGGGTTTGGGAACTATAGTGGTTGAGTAGCTTTTGTTTGTCTTTGAGTGGAAACTTGTAGACCATTTGGATTTTACCTGTTGTGAAATTTGTGTTAATGGCGAGGGTTTTAGATATGTGTATGGGTAATTACTATAACAAAATCTACTTTAGTACGATATTAGGAAGTTAGGTCAAAGTTTTGTCGCCATTTACTTCGAAGTAGAAAAATATCTCCAGCTTTATGGTTTTCGCTTATTACGATAGCCGCCGGCCTAGTTTTCTTCTATTTGAATTTTTTGTAAATATTATATCTAAAATAATAATACCATTTTAAACCCTTAGTAAGTACTTCGTAACAACTTGTCTGTTCAAAGTTAATACCGTATGATTCTGTAATTAAGACAATTACTCGTTTTCTAATAAAAGCCAAGAAAACGAGGGGAAAACCGTGGACCCTTACCTCTAGAAGCCTCGTGGTAAACCCTCTAGACCCTACTATTTACTTCGAAGTAAAGGTTTTCATCACTTTTCACATTCTCGCTCCTTCCCTTCTTATCTTGTTATACAAGCGTAATTAACCTGAACTTAACTTTAGTGTTTTACTTCGTAGACGGGTAGATACTCCCGCTTCGGTATTACCGACCACAGACCTCAACTTCGCCGTATCTTCTTCGCTTACCACACAAAAAAGAATCTTCGAAAGTTATTAGAAAATAAATAATATTACAAACTTCTCCAAGATAATCAACCCCTTAACCCTAACCCCAAAAAACAAAACTACACACCACTCTATCTAACAACTATAATATCCTACTCGAGTAAGTAGATAAACCAACCTAACCCTAGCTCGCCTAGCCTAACCCTCGCTTACCTCCCCTCCCCTCCCACACCCCACAACCAAAACCTACACCAGCAAAAATATAAACTCTTGTAAAGGATTTGAACCTCTGATTCTCTCTGACGGGGAATCGAACCCCGGTCTCCCGCGCTTGTAAGTATATCAGAAACGAGCTGATTATGAAGTACATGACAAGCGGAAATCATAACCACTAGACCATCAAAGACGTTTGTTATACTTGTGTTTTTTTGTTGAGGTGGTGGTTGTTATTTGGTGCTAGACTTGTAGAATGGGGGAGCTTTGGGAAGTGTGGGGAGTGTGGGGTAAGTAGGGGAAGTGGGTAGAGTGGAAACTAGATGGTTTAGATAGGTAGGTAGTTGTCGCTAATTATTACGAGTACTAACATTCCAGTATAAGTTAACTACGAATGACGTATAGGAAGCTTTAGTTGTCGAGTATAATATACCGTAATAAATATCGTACTACTTAATTTATCGGTATAAAATACTAAATTTCTATTAGAGGTACCCTATGTAATAACTAATACCTCTAGATTTTACTTTATCCCCTCTAATTCCTACTTATATATAATTAACTGAATTCTTCTTATAATTCTAAAAACCTAATAACTTATAGATCTCGAATCGTATCTTAAATAAAATATTCTCGCTTCTAGACTTCTCTTCCCCTCTCTTGCTATTATTAAGTTAATAGATACCAAGATATTTACCTAGAATATCTTAACGAAGGTTATATAGATCCTATTCTTCTTCTCCTTCGTTTCATATTTAAGAGTTCGGTCCTATTCTTTAAGTGGAATTAGGGAATTTCGTATTATTACTTATATCGTCTCCGAGTAAGGAACAGGAGCTAACTTTTTCGTAAAGGCTTGTGAGATTTAAGGCTCGAATGAAATGGTAGACTGTAATATATGATACATAATGATTTTATCTTTCGAAGAATCTACCGAGTCGTAACATATAAACAGGTTTATGTGATTTAAAAGGGTTTTATTCCTTTTGCAACGTAATAATAGCTAGTTTATATCTAAGCTACTTTAATAGTTTTAATCTCTAGAAAAGATCTGAAGGAAATGCATATGTGGGAATAAGATGTTTATGTCGAGGAGACTAGATGTCTTGAAGAGGCAGGCGACCATAGATTAATAGATGAAAGGGGGTTGATATGATTAGACTAAAGAACGCGATAGTGTCATGAACAGAAACTTTTAGATCAGACCTCTTATAGCGAACGCTTCGCGATCCTTAACATCTTTCCCCCACACATATAGCCTTTCAAGGGGGCTTTCCTGATCTGATGTTTCCGTGACCCCGTCGAATTCCTTTGCATTCTCAGAGATACTACCTTCCTTCTGTCTGACAAGTTTTCATAGCAATTGTCGAAACTTAATCACATCTGGCTATAGATCCTCTGAAAATTTGTCATCCCCGAAAAGAATCCGGAAGACCTGTACCAAAGCGTGTTTCCTCTGCCTCTCCTCCCACGAATCCTTCGACATGCGCTCTAACTTAGTCGTACCATCGAGTACATAAGTTTCACCAAGCCCAAGAATCAGGAGGTTAGATACGAGCTCTTTCCCTATGTCGAGCTTCGTAGTAATGCTAGAGAGGTGTTATTATTAGAGAATCTCAAAGGTTATACTTCAGTATCCCGAACACCTGTTGGGGAATGCTGTGGTCCTTTCAAAAAGCACTCGGTTCAAGATCGTAGTCCGTCTCCCGAAAGAACTTGCTCTGCACAATAATTGGCTTGATAATCGCATTTGCGTTTAGATTTTGAAGCTGAGAAATTGTAAAATAGGATCCTCTGAGTGAGCGAATCTTGTATAGCACAAACGTCTCGAAAACATTCTAAACCAACTTATCTTTCTCATCCTCGAAGGATATATAAAGCAAGAAAGCATCGTGATAGTCAACCTTCAAATGGTCCAAACTCTGCTGTATGGAATCTCTCATCTGAGCTTCGATGCTTTGATAAGGATTGAATGGTATTTCATCTTTTACGTAGGCCCAAACGGGGGTGAACCTGGTTTGAATTTAAAGAAGCTGTTAGTGGTATAAAAAATCCCTAAAAGAATAATCTGAGTATAGCGAGTTTAGACATTCATACAAATCACTGCGAGTGGTACCTGCTTGAATGACCGTTACCAGACCTTCGCCAGTCAATGCCTCTTCATAGGCCGTAGGGTACTTGGCTATATCCACCCCAGTGAAGCCATGCTCCAGTACTTCTTGTGTGAGCCTCGCAGTCTGCTCCTGCTTGAACGTTGTTTCGTAAAGGATCAATGGACGCTTAGAGCCGACACGCAGTTGCTTTGGAATATTTTAAGTTGACTATAGCCAAAGTAAATCTCCAGCAGTATAAAAGTGACCTTTCTTTTTTATCAGACTACATTCGAAATAGAACCCCAAAAAGTGCCATTTATGGGTAGATTCAAGTGAATAAACGAATATCTAGTAAGCAAAACAGGTTGCCCACTCTACGTTCACTTCCACTTCTACTTCCACTTTCCAGGATCAACTATTCCTAGAAAATTATAACTGAAACTTAACTATATTGATTTTTTAACACCATTCAGAACACATGAAATAACCTGTAAATTAGTAGGCAAAAGCTATTTAACACAGGTATTCAAGGATCTGTCCCCTTTTAATATTCCGTCACAGGCAAGTCTACTCTGGGACAGGTGAGATATAAGGTTACAAATAATAATGTAGCAACTGCCATGAAAACGCTTCACACCAACAACAACGCCAAAAAGCAAAAGACGTTGAGAATGCAAATATCCTTCTGGTATCGCAATTCCACTCGACTATCTCCCAGGAAACTATGCGTACCAGCTCCCAAGCCCAGCTAACCAAAAACTAATAAGGCAAAAAATAATATGGCATGAAGTAAACAAAAGAGAAGGACCAAAGATCCATCCATGAACCTGTAATAGAATTACATATTTGTGATTTGGATCGCCAACCTAGTCTCTCAGTCTTCGATTTGGACTAGACTTTTCACTAGAACTGTCTTGCTTGATTTCTGTCTCCCTTTTGTTCTCAAATACGAGTAATTGATCTGATCTTCTCTCCCCACCGCATTCATATCCAGAACAAGCAACAACTCTATTTTCTCATTACCATCCTCCACTCAGAGGATTTAGGGCTGATAGCGCTGACTTTGTCATTAGACTGGGTTGTATCTGATCGGTAGGCTTGATGTAGAGTACCCGATTGAACACATCCCGAGTAACACTGCTCCTCTGTGTGAGAGTCGTTTCTTTTCCTTTCTTTAGGTGATTCTTCTCGTGTTTTTCCTGCTCTCGAATGAGTCGAGCTTGGGTCGGGTGTCGAACGGGAACAGCGTAGTGTGGGAATTGCAAATAATCAGCCAATCTCTTTTGCTTCGATTAGTCAACCATTTGGATTGTTCGAAGTGACTTGATTATATTCCAGGCTCTTTCCATCAAGAAACGATGAGTGAAGAGACGTACTAGGTACTTAGCGAGAACTATTTAATTGTGCCTGTCATTTAAGGCAGACAAGGCAGCAACATTGCCGATTCCGGCCTTTGCTTCTTTCCCAAGGCAGGGCAGGGTTTCGGTGGCCTTCCCGCTGATGACGTTTTGCAGGTCGAGAGCTGCAGCCATCAAAACACCACATAAGTCACCATCACCACCAAAAACCAAACACTCTTCTGCATACAAACTCCTCCTCACGATTATTGCACGCGACCGTTGATCTCCTCCATGTAAGTAGCACATTGCACACACCTCCACATCTCCAGACTGGTGAAAGCTTGGAGCCACAACCCCACTGCACTGGCCAGAGCTTTGCCTTGCAAGCTTCTTGTTGTTCATGCTGGAGCTAATGCACGCGAGCTGGGCTGCCACATTACAACACAGCAACTGATTTTTTTGATCTGGAAAAACAGAATTTCTCCCCACAAACCCATTCCCAAGAACGAAAACCTCAGAGCAATATCAAGATGACGCTCTACTACGGCCTCGTAAGTTCAGCAACCCCTCCAAACATATCCTCAATATCCCTAGCCTCCTGTTTTCAACCAAACCAGTCCGGCTTTGGCTCAATCCACACCATCCGTTTCTCGCTGACAAGCTATTCCAACTAGGTCTTCATGATGCTAGCGGCTGAAGTCGTCTTCTTCGCGCTACTCGTCCTGCCATTCCCATTCAAGATGCGCAAATCGATATTCAACTTCATGTACACCTTTCTACCCCGCTCGACATCCACGGTTTGCTAACAACCACCGCAGTAGCACTAGTACCATCGTAGCGAAGTTGCAATATGGCATGAAGATTGCCCTCATCTTCGTCCTCGTTTTGTTCATTGACAGTGTAAACCGCGTCTACCGAGTCCAAGTCGAGCTCCATGAAGCCAACAACAACAAAGCCGGGTATGCAGAATTGGTTTCATCCACACCGTTGTGAACTACAACTAATTGCATGATAGAACGATTATGGGACACGAACGCATGGAAGTGCAAGCACGAAAGTTTTACTCCCAACGCAACATGTACCTCTGCGGATTCACACTCTTCCTTTCCATCATCCTCAACCGAACCTACACCATGATCCTTGACAACATTACTTTGGAGGCCAAGGTTAAATCTTATGAGTCGAACGCTTCTGCTGGTGGCCCGGAGAATGTTGCTCGTTTGGAGAAGGAGCTCGCTAAGAAGGATCGGGATTTGGCTACGTTGAAGAAACAGGTTGAGGGCGTCAGTGCAGAGTACAACAGATTGGGCGACGAGAAGTCCCCAAAGGATGGTACACCAAAGAAGGACCGATAAATCATTAATGGCGAGTAGTCCTCCCAGGCTACTGCCGGTGACGACTCATTCAACAAAAGTAGGCGGGATATGAAGTATGAGGACTTATGATATGTGACATGAGGGCAGGGGCTGTGGCATGGGGATTGTGGGAGAGAATTATCGATTTCGATATAGCAAGAGACGTTTGGGTATTTCGGGAGGCGGGTAAAAGTACTGTTGACTTGTACTTATAGTAACTAAGCAATGAAGGTTTTTCTACAGGATAAAGGTTTTTGCTGATGATTTGAAACATCGATTTCCATAGGTACAGGTGTTTTTGAGGTACTTATTCTCAATAAACTATCGTTTCTACCTACTCATCAATAGGCCCACGTCTGTTGTAGGACAATATTCCGAGTGAGCCAGTCCTTCTGGAGGCCTTTTCATAACTATCATTCTAAAAGTACTCGAGTTTCAGGTCCATCTTTGTCATTAATCATTTCTCATTTCTTATTTACTCTCTGCATTACCGAGTGCACTCCTTCTTCCATAAAGCAGAGCATCGTGCAACTAAATTATATGCACATAAGTCCGTATATGTACCCCCGAGTTCCCTCGAGACAGCGATGAACTTCCAGGTACATAGGACGCTTGCAAGTAATAACGAAAACAATAACGCCCAACTCCTCCCTTCAAATTTCAATGTTTCAATGTTTCAACCTTTCAACTCATACATAAAGAAAATCCCTTTTTTCAACCTTTGTTTAAGGGGTTCACTTTTGCTTAGGTACTCACTTTTAGAAACGAGTACGTCTTGTTTCACGCCTTCACGTCCGCTTAAGTACTCGTTTTGGTAACGAGTGCGTTTTTTTCCTTACATCCTCACTTTCAAGTGCGCAAGGAAACTAGTCAGAGTCGCCGGTCAGATCTATCGTCTCGGTTGCACGCTTTTGCGGGGTGTTCCTCGGCTTGAGCTTGAGACCACTGACGGGTGTCTTCTTGGGTGTTTGTGGGATCGCGGGGATAGCCTTTTGAGGTGTTGATTTTGCTGTTGTGGCTGTTTTTGCTGGTGTGGCTATTTTTGCTATGCGTAAAGGTGGGGAAGAAGCTGGCATGGTTGAGGAGCTGTCGTCGTTGTCGTTATCGTCTTCAATTAATGCTCGGATGTTGTTTTTTGTGTTCTTGTGAGAAGGAGGTTGTGCTTTCTTTTGTTATACGGATCCCATTAGCATCGAAGCTATGTGGTAGTTATGCTCGTCCTCGATAGACTCTTGGTCCTTTTTGTTTTGAGCTATGTTAGTAGATGGTATTTGACGACGTTTTGCTGGTGTCTCCTGTGTGAGATGTTAATAGAAATCATCTACGAGTAGATGGAGGTGCAACTACAAACCTCATTCAGTGCCACAATCTCCCGCTCTCTCTTGCGTCCTGATGACTCCGGTGTACTTGGTCCTTCGGAGCCACCTGGCGTGAACAAGGGTATACTATACAACTTGTTTCTCTTCAGAAGAGGCAGGGGATCGCTCGAATATTCGAATACGAAGCTGGCAATTGGCTTTGTACCAACATTCTTGATTGAATAGACAACTGTCTCCTTTGCGAGCATTGGGTCTCCGTGTCTATGATAGTTAGTCATATGCCGGACTCTGTTCGCGGGTCATAGAGCAGTGACTTACGATATACCTTCGCTCTTTATCAACCCTTGCTCAGGAACTGCGTCGACGACACCTTTGATTTTAGCCTCCCAGGCATGGACGATGATCTTGCCTATGGCAGGGGTATTCAAGGTAGCGTTATCGTTATTGTAATCTAGAAAAGGAGTAAGTATCTCTAAAAGTATATCTAGGAACATAGCAACTTACTCTCTAGAGGCTCTCTAAATTTGAAGGACCTTAATACGACCCCGTCCACGCCACCTTCTTTTACTCCCTCAATCACCCGCTCCTTAAAGAGTTTCTTTTCTTCGTACCGCTTCTTGGTAAACTTCGTGCCCATGACTTTGACGCTATTAACCTGAACTTTGAAGCTGATAGCAGTATACGCAATCTCAAAAGGCGATGCGAGGCGAGTAAGGATAGCGAACTCGCGTCCAGGAATAGACTGAATGCGCACGACTGTTAGGCTGTCTTATTAGATCTTCACTACCTCTTGGACGGGCTTTCTATCGACAACGATCTCTACTTCTAGGCCCGAAACCTCTTTGATGCGCGCCATAGTTTCGATCTGTTGGCGTAGCGTGTTTGTTTCTTGAAAGTGAGTTTGATGCGAAGGCCAATTGAGCCTGCGGACTAATCAAAGGTCAGAATCATTCACTAGAGTTCAACGTGTGATAGACCTGACGATTCACAGATCGAAGCGCATCCAAGGGAAAAAGAAGAGAAGGGAAATGACGTACCAATGGGTATTTTCAAGGTGTTTACAGAGAGGCGGGAGGGTGAAAAGAGGAGAGTTGTTCCTAGAGATCGGGCTGGCGAGGAGTAGATTCAAATGTGAGGGGATCTTAAAGAGGGTGGGGAAGTGAAGTAGGATCTTATAGGAGAGATTAGGCACCTAGGCAAAAATGTGTGGCCTTAAAGAGGTCGCTGTACTTGATCGTTTGCTTTACCTTCAGCCACACCCTCGACACCCGGTCGCAGAGCAAGTAGCTATGATGTGAGCATTAGTATTGTTTGTGTATGCCAGAAAAGATTCGCTTAGGACTTCTTGTCGCAAGGGATTTGAAGTCCTAAGGGAGTGTGAGTAGAACGAGGTTGAGGAGAAATGTAATGGCTAGAAAGTTTGGGGGAAGGTTAGGGTCGTTATTCACGGTGATTAACTTGATTGGTCTAATGTACCTCGCTTAATGGAGAAGGAACATTGTAACGTAAGTAAAAGCTAAGGTATTCTAAACTACTTTTTAATTATATTAGTTTTCCTAGCATAAAAATGTTTTCATGTAGGCTTTGTAGAAAGGCCTCTTGCTGCGCAGTTAAGTTCAAGGTACGCTCTTTGGCAGTATCGAATTATCGAGAATCTTGCGCCTCCCAACTCTGCGGAAACTTGGCAGTAAGTAAAACAAAGTAACGAGTGAAAAAAGAGATATACTAGTATCAATAATGACTTCTCGTAAAACTCGAGGTAAAACATATCTTGTTCAGCTAATATTTTAGAACAACCACTCTAGTGCTCCAAGAATACTCAGTTGATTGTTCCGTTACGTAAGAAAGATAAGAAAATGAAGTGTAATTATGAAGTGAAAACTAGGCTATTTACTGCTACTTTTTTCATCAACGAAGTGGTTGGTAATAATAATTGGGGTATTAAAACAGGTGGCCCAATACAACAAGAACAGAATAATTCTGGCTTTTAATCCAAAACAATTTTTATCTCACCGTCTCTTGGATTTAGCTCGCAATGCCTTGGCTTCATACCAGCGGGATACAACTCGCCATCCACAAAGAGCTTACCACCAAATATCATATGTAGTTTCTGCAAAAGATCAGTTGTATCGCTTCGATCGAGCAGCATCTCCCTCAGCCACCGCTGCTTTCCCCAATGCGAAAAATGCGGCCAGCTAGTCTTCAATATCAGGCTGCTTCCGGCATCATCTGGGCCTCCTCCAAACAGTCGACCATCAACCAAGTCCCCTGAGCACATCAAGTCCAATTCTTCTTCATATTCTTTGATTCCACGAGGTCGGTCGTTGATTGCAAGTAAAGTAATCGATTTTAATGTTTTCGGATCTGCGAAAGCTTTCAAACCACCGCACATCCATTCGAGTTCACCGCGATCGAGGAGTTCGAGAGTAAGTTCGATATGCTCAATCCGACGTACGTCATCGACCTTCAAAAGTCCATTGAACCTTGTAAAGAGCTGCGTCGGCTCACGCAATCGAAGACCGTTGTGTTGCCATATTATATCCTTGCATTCTCGCTGGATCTGTTTGCAAGTTCGCAATATCGACAGCGAGCGTGCTACTTCGATAGACCATGGTGATAATGTGACCGCGTTCGAGGACCCTGCGAGAATGTCGGTATAAATATGGTCGCGAATCTCTCTTGGGAGTTCGAGAAATGGGAGAGGAAGTCGTTCCGGAATCTTGGCCAGCGGAGGTATGGGTATCCTATCGCGCGGCGTCTTCGTTCTGGAGGGTGTTGAGGTATGGAAAGGCATGATGAAGGATGTCATTGATTGCAACAAGCTGCTTGGCTTGAGGGACCATTTGGGAGGGGGCTCCGGGCGAACCCCGGGCGGAAGCAAAACCACTTTACGCGAGCGCGTGCGCGTTGAAACCGCGACGCGAGCTGCTATCCCAACCTCCTTCAGGAGACCTTGTAAACAATTCTTGAAGTGGAACTTGCTACCCAGAACACACATTTTGAGCACCCCACGTTCATCGAACCCCGCTTCAGTTCGTAAAGCCAGCTCTTCCCACCAACATCTTTTTCATCGCAATTACATATTTCCATTATGCCTACCGCAATCAAGAGAAGGAAGCTATCAACAGCTCCTCGAAAAACGACTACTTCTGCGACCCGACAACAGATTGGCGCCTTTACAAAAGTATCCAAAGGTGCCAATGTCGCATCCAAAACAGTCGTCGACAAAACGAATGCTATCAATACCATCGCAACTACCGTACCTCAAGTCGAAAAGTCCGCAGCTACTGGTGGAAAGCGCAAATTATCAGAGATTGACGAGGATGAAGTCCCGATCGAAGCATTGTTACAAATACCATCTGCCTCGAAAACAGTCACAAGCAGCAAGCTTCTCTCTCGAACACGATCCCAATTGATACCTTCAACACCGCGAAAATCGGCCATCAAGAGTACTGTCAACAACACCGTCGACACGCCAACCAAAGGGGCCCGAAGCCTTTTGGACCGGCTTCTCTTGACCTCCACAACGCCGACTAAATCTCCACTTAAAACCAAGCCATCACATACACCGCTTTTAGACCTGAATACACCTCCATCGTCTCAAGAACTTCCTACCGAATTACTCGACCTCGTTAATTTACATGCCGCATTCCTCACAGCACTATCGCTTCATTACGCTCATAATGGGATCAATTCACCAGCCTGCCTTCGCATGCTCTGCCCCAATGTGGCCCGAGCTTGGGGAAAGCGCAGTGTCACTCTGGAGGATATTCGCAGAACCATTGGAGTCTTGAATGCAAATATTCTGGAGCGAAAGAAGAAGGATGCAACACCTCAACTTACACTTTCAGACTATGGACACGGGAAAATATGCATTGAGATAAGCATTTCAGCAGGGAAGCCTGGTACCATCATCGCCAGACCTGTGAACGAGAATCTGTTGAATGAGATATTTTCTGGAGGATTGAAGAACTCCTGGAAAGTAAATTCGTCAGAAAATATGGATATCAAGAAGTTCATCGAAACATTACCATTGGAACCCATTACTACATGTTCCTCGTTACTCAAAATGTCTCCAATGCTCGCCAAAGGACAACGAAGATTGGGGGATTTCAAAGTCGGAATTGCGGTTGCGAAAGAGCAGGAAAGGGCAAAGGCAGTAGAGGCAGAAATTGCCTACACCACTGGAGCCGCTACTACAGGGACCAAACCCACTCTTCTCGAACGCTTGAGGGCGAAACAGTTGGAGAAGGCGAATCAAGCACCACCACCTACTAAAGTAGAGCTTGCTCGCAAAGTAGCAATACAGAAGATTGAGGAAGTTGCAGCAGTCTTGGTTCATCTCAGCACATCAAGTTCCGTTGGGCAGACACGAATTTCATTTACCCTACCGACTGTAATTGGCAAACTGCGAGATTCTTTGAAGACTCCAATCTCCAAAGTAGAGAGTGAGACCTGTTTGAGACTATTGGCTTCGGATATAGCTCCTGAGTGGGTCAAAATGGTCAAAATGGGCAAGTCGGAAGCCCTTGTTGTGAACAGAGATGAGAGGCCCACCGAGGCTAGTATTTCTGAGAGAGTTAAGAGTGCCTCCTGAAGGATTAGAGTATGGAATGTCGGGAAGAGAGATGTAAAATTCTTAGGATACTGTGTAGATTGGGGATTTTTGGATACTACGAAGTGGATAGAATTCACACAGAGCGTTTTGTACAGTAGATAGGAGATCAATGATCATCAAAGAAACGATGAACTGTTCTTTTTTTTCTATTCATGTGCCTGTGATTGATTTCTAATGTGATCGTAAAGCTTCAAGACAATCTCCCATTGCCCCTCCACGGGGTTCTTCATAATTCATGAGTTTCCCCCCACACTTCCCATCCCTGGCAAATTTTACCCCGCCATCGCTCACTTCTTCTTAGGACCAAATCGTGGAGCCCCAATATCGCTTCCTCGCAACTTGATGCCTAGTACTCTCTCCATCGCAGCCAACACCTTCTGATCCGGAGTCGCAGTTCCTCTCTCGAAATCGGCCACGATCGTTTGGGTGGTATTACACTTGGTGGCCAAATCCTTCTGTGTCATCTTTGGCTCCATCTTCTGCCGTTGGTCGGAGATGGCTGTTCCGACTACCTTTCCGACAGTGTTTGGCTTGACGATGTCATCACTGCGATCGACTTTGGTGAGATGTTGGCCTTCAACACCGGGTTTTGATGCCTATGGGAATGTTAGTGGGGGAGGTGCAACCTGGCAGATCGAAGGGGGGGCACAAACCGAGTTACCAGCGCCGAATTTCTTTTCTGTGCCGATGACGGCTCCTGAGCGCTGGGCGGCGTTGAGGGCAGACTTTCCGCGGACGACGGTCTCTCGTACTCCTCCTCCTCCGCCACGGGTCTTGCTTCCAATCTTGGTAACTTGGTCCCAGTCGTCCATGATGAGTTTGGGTGTGTTGGTAGATGTAGACTGAGAGAGGTTCTAGTGATATTTGCAAGTTTTGAGGCTATTTGTGTTTGCGCGGTGAGAAGTGGCTTGTTGTTTGTGTGGTGGTGTTCACAGTTGATAGCAAGAGGGCTCTCACAGGAACTTATGGCGGGCGCTTCGGCGGTAAGGCTGTGCTGTGCGACCTTGAGGCTTTGCCGGGTGAATCACATCGGAGCTAATGACTTTTCGGGTCATACCCTAGTAGACTCTCGCCTCCAGCTCACCCACTTTATTCACTCCTTGCGAGGTCATGTTTCTTTCTTGGAAGACTCAGCGTAGATAGAGCAAGGGCATGGACTTTGATTTTAGACACTAGCGTCGGTTGTTAGCGAGTGGCACATCTTTCCCTGTTCCAGTACAGTATCTAATTCCTTTCTCTCGTTCCTTTTTCCACTTCAACCTCTTCCATCTCATCCCCAACCCCACTCCGACGTGCTTCGCATCATGATTTGAAGACGCTAGAGGCGACGTTGTTTTGTGTTTCTGTTCGCAGCCTCTTTTTAATTCGCTTGCGTTTGCTGCCGTTTTGGTAGCCAGGTACAATGGCAGCCATGGAATTGCCATTGGCTTTAATCATCCTCTTCGCGGTCGTCGCACGTGGAACGCGATTTGAAATGATTCTAGCCTGCGGAATTGGTTTACTTTACAGTCGGAATGTCGTTGGAGAGGTCTTTCAAACGCTCACTAGATTCCTCAATGTCCCCATGATTGTCTTGAGTTTTGTTATCCTTCAACTCATTCGATACGTTATCACTCTCTCGGTTTCAACTTCTTCAAATGGCGATCACCCCGCCAAAGCCATGTTCTTTCCTTGCAAGACAAGCCACATCAGACTGTATCCCAAGAAAAACAGCTTTGAGTACTCTTACTTGATGGTTGGGATTCCAATTGGTTGGAAAGGGACAGCTGGTGGATTGTTATCAGCTGATGTGGAGAAAAGCCAGAGTTCTTGGTACCTGAGGTTGTTTTCTTTGGGACCCGGTACTTCTTGGTGGTCTGTTGATGGTGACAACTATCTGGCGAGAGGCTCTGGTTCATTAAAAGCAAAATTGGAAGGATACCTTAAAAGCGAGGTAAGTCACAAATCCACTGCTGACTGTTTGGGCATTGCTAACATACTCAGGGCATTGATCCACAAAATTATCCCTACGCCTGTCTCTTTACTGCTGCAGAATGCTTGGGACATTCCTCAAATCCCGTCTCTTTTTGGCATCTATATTCGCCAATCAAAGAGCTAGCAGCTGTCATCTACGAGGTTAACAACACATTTGACGAACGTCACATGTATTTTCTGGAACCCCAGCCGGGAACTGTAGAGAACCCAAAGCCAAACATCATCAACCAAACAAACAAATCACCAAGAGTCCATGGAAAAATTCCAAAAGAATTCTTTGTCTCGCCCTTCAACTTCCGCAATGAACGGTATAGTATGTCATTGTACGACCCATTTTTTCCAAGCATGACTGGCACTGGTCCACTCAACCATGCAATCGCTCTAACAAGCAGACATGGTCGTCCAAAGCTCGCTGCTCGAATTTGGTCTACAGCTCCCGGTATCGACCCATCTGAACTTTCTCTTTGGCAAAAAACCGTTTTCATCTGGTCCTGGTGGTGGGTTGGATTAATGACTTTACCTCGCACCGTCATTCAAGCATACAAACTCAAATTTTGCCGCAAACTCGACTACTCACTTCAACCAGAACCCAGATTAAACTCAATTGGGCGACAAGCTGATGCGTTCGAAACTTTTATGGAGAGAATCTTCTTTGTCTTTTTGACGAATCTGGTGGCTAGGCTTTCCATCCCGGTCAAGATTACTTGTGCTCCAGTAGGCATTAAAGATACACAAGAGCGGATCTTGTACTCTCCGCCTGCTCAAAGAATATTTTCTGAGTATCAAGGAAAGAGAAGCAATATCAAGGATCTGAGCATCCAAATTTTGACGCCAAAGTTTTACAGCCGTCTTATATTCTACGCATTCTCCCCCATTCGAGATATCTTGCGGGACGAATCACAGTTGCTAAATCAAACGCTTCAACTTTCAGATACGGAGGTTTTTGAAACGATCTTCGACTCCAAAACCCAAGGACGCTTCTGCAACCCAATAGAGACCATGGAACAATTCCGCTTCGAAAGAACCGCTGTCTTCATCCTCGCTCTCCTCACAGGGAACGCCACCAGAAACCCAGCGCCACTCATCGAAAACTGGGAACGCGGACCTAACAACCCTCCATGTCCCGACATGAAGAAAACCATGACATCGAATAAGCTCACCCCCGATTCATTTCTCGAGTTCTTTATGAGTAACGCAGCTACCGAAGAGCGCAAGGAGTTCTATATCCAAGCATTGAAAGCGAGGATTGCGCCCTACATTGCTTTTGGCTCTTTGTTGGTTTTGGATATTGAAGTTTGGACTTTTAGGTCTCTCAGTGTTTGGTTCTCTGTCAGTACACTTTTTAGGTACATTGGTTTGTTTTGATGGGATTTATGAATTGTGGATTATATTTTTTGTTTTGGGGGTGTTTTGCATGGCGTGGTGTTACTGACGTATTGATCGGGGGGTTTTGCTGAATTCCTTTCATGGCGTTTCTTTCTGTTGTTTTTCATATTCATTTGCTTTTTTTTAGAGGCATAGGGATACATAGGGAAGGGCATTCTGGCCGCGATGCCTTAAATATGGTTATTAGACTATAGAGAAGCGAATATAGATTATAGGGTTAACGTTGTATTGCCGGTTGTACATAGAGGGTGCTGAGAGAATGTGAAGGGGGTTGTAATGGATAATTAATCGTTGTTTTTCGGTACTTTGGACGGAATGTGAAGGTTTGACTTGGCTCTCGGGTTTCTGAGATAAGTATGTTACGAGTAGAGCTACTCGTAAGTTTTGCTTGAGTCGAGATATGCTGAAATGCCCCCGAAAGGTATAACGATCAATCTGGGTTGAGTGATATGATGAGGATACTGTCTCATGGTAGATTGAAAAGCGACAGTATACTAGCTATACTATACTATTGCTATACCTCCTTTCCGGAGCGAGTGTAAGGAAATAACCTAATTCTTGGGATAATGCTTTTGGTTCTCTTCGAAGTCTTGGTCAATATTATTTATTATTCATTGGAACTATTAGAATAACTAAATACTAGAAAGGACGGAATGCGAATGAATGGCTATTTCAAGGAAGTGAGGAAATAGGTAATATTCTTCTCTTGAGTTGGATTTGAAAGTAGAAAGATATAGATAGAGTGTCGGCTGTGGACTTTGAGCGCACCAGAGCGGGCGCGGGTACACAATGAATAAGTGAGAAGACTGGAGGTAATATGGGTTTCCAAATAGAGCTTCGTTCCTGCTTTGATATGGGCGAGTGGTATACCATCGAATCCGGTCTATACCACCTTTTTAATTAATCAATAACGATAAGCTTATAAAAGAAATTTGTCTAGCCCTTCCACGTCAAAATGAGAAGGCACTGTGAGTCCGGTATTTTCAAGAGGTTGCTGAATTCTTTTACGAGCGACGTTCCCTCGTTACGCTTCGCTTCAAATGATTCGTTGATTAGATGATTAGCTGATGTGTATATAGTCATATTTTCAGACGCCTCGTAATCGCAGGAAAGGAAAGGATTCCGAAGAGGAGGATTAGGATAAGGTATGTACCGGTATTATCAGACTCGGGTGGATGATATCCTGCAGCAGGAATGCCAGGAAGAAGGCTTTATTTTTATATTTGACTCTCGGCTCTGTTGAAGCCTCCCGAAGGCCAAATCTAGATGCAGGGAATGCACATCGTGGTATTAACTGCCCCGAAATTCCAAATAGACCGCCCGACCACTCGATCAGGTCGAAGAGATCGAAATCTGGGTCATAGAAGGGATCCAAGTGGGATTAGTCATTTGTGCCGCTACCGACGGCGCACAATGGAGTATGGTAAGCTAAATAGTCTTGATGATAGGACGATCTGTGAATTCCTCGCTTATGTTTTGACGAAGAGGCGAATGCGCCAGCTTTGATTTACATCTCGCTAGATTCAATCGATCGTGGAATCGCAGCAGAGGGAGGTGGTTATACTGAGATGGAGAATATGGAAGGAGAAGATTGTTTGCACGAGGTTGAGAAGCTATGTTTTGAGAAATTGGAGCAGAGGCTTCGTGGTGATCGAGAGATGAGTAGACATACTATGGTGGAATGAATAGAAGCTGGTGGATGCGATAGTAGGAAAGCTCGTTAAAAAGAAATTAGGTATTATAATGAGGGAAATTTATGTATGTAGGATAATTATGGCACTAGAAACGCAGCATGCATGTAGGAGTTGATACTGTGAATACTAGACTGTTTACAAGGTCAAAGTCTAATCATCTCCGATGAATTCGAGATAATGTCAATAGATTAAAACCCGTGACGGAAAAGAAATCACTACAGACCAGCGACAGTACTGTAGGATACCCCCAGCACAAGCGCTGACTCCTTTACCGCAAGATAACCAGGCTCGGCTTCAGGTACCTCCTCCTCAATCTCTTCAGCCACAGCCTCCTCTCCTCGTCTTTCCCAACATCCCTGGGTATGCTGAGATTGCTGTCGTTCAAGATCCTATTTAACCCACAAACTTAGTTCCTTTAACAGCGTTGTTGGCTGCGTTGCCAAGGAAGTTGGTACTCTCAACGGTTTTCCTCATCCAAAATTAGTTTGTGAAAAGAGTAATGTAGGGAGAAGACATACGGAGAAGCATCGCGACTCTCTCACTTTATTCCTTTAAGGGCGTTGTTGGCTTTCTTGTCCATTTCGGCCGACTCGTCAATAATAAGAGGACTATTCCAAGGTTAGTTTGTGAAAGGAGTGATGTAGGCTGAAGGCATACTGAGGATCGCGACGTTGAAGTCCCTCAACTGCGTTTTTGGCTGCTGGGTCAAGATCGTTCCCATCGCCAAGAGTAACGAATCTATTCGAAAGTTAGTTTGTAAAAGGAGTGATGTAGGGTAAAGACAAACCGGGGCAGGACAGCCGCAGAGACAACAGGCGTAAGAACGAGAAGGGAAGTTGCGAGGTTAATGAGCTGCATGTTTGCTTTTGGTAGGGGAACCAAGTAGTCAAATCAATTGATCGGAAGTTGGGTGGAAGAAAATGGTTGTAAGAGGTATGTAAAAGAATAATTGGTAAAACTTTTCAAAAGTATATAGTTAAAAGCGAAGACTTAGGGAGTGTTAAATGAGGGTAAAGAGACAGAATGGAATTACCATCCGGAAGCTCCTTCACTTAAAAACAATTGTAAATAGCCCCCCCCAGTTTCTTGTCTACATGGTCTGCCCCACAGACAAGTTTCAGGTGGGGGTGGATTTGTTAGATCCCCAGGGATAGCCCACAGCCAAGCTGGAAAACAAGTAAACTCCGTATGGAGTTCGAGTACTCCGTACTTCTATTACAGCAAACCCCCTGCTAATTTTCCTTATTTTCTTATCCTTAGCTAAAAATACCAATCTCGAGAAGGCTCGTTATTCATGAAGACGCCAAGTCTTAATACCCGTCGTAGAAGTGACAGTGCCGGACAGCCAAGCTTAGGTTGCCACCCTCCTATAAACGAAGTATTATTGGTAGGATATAACCCTAAAATATAGTCTTCTAAGCTACCTAATCAGGTTGTCGGACTCATGTGAAGTTGTATTAGTTCCAATTTTGGGGTGGATTGTCCGAGCTGTCCAGTCCTTTTTGTGACGACACGTACGCAAGGCCCACGGTGTAGGTTGTGGAATCGTAGAACTGTCAATTAAACAAAGATTCTAAGCTGAGGAGAAGAGGAGAGCTCGAGAGAGCTTCGATCTAAATACTTGGTGTGGGTCGCTAAGCGAGACCACGTGATCCGAATGGTGGTGACGGTTAGAACCGTCACACTTTTATTTTACGAACTTTTCGCCCTTAGGGACTAAGCTGTATTTTTACTAGCGTATTAGGGTAACACTCGAATAGATCAGAAGAATAAGATTACTCGTGCTAGAATTTCTGTACGGAGTATGAATGTTAGTTAAGTGTCACGGGGGATTTCAAAAATACTAAAGTCTTGAGGAAAGCCAAGACTTAACAACTGTAAAGCCGACATTTTAATTACTTTTTATTAATTAAAACTGGTAATTTTTTTTGATCAGTGTATTTTAAAGCGCTTCTTAAACCTTTTGCTTAGCTTGAAAGTAATTTTGTGTTTTCTTCGGGGTGAAAGTGTAGAAATCGAAGGAATCGGTTTTAATATGGCGCGCTTTGTAAGCTCTACTTGTACGAGTATGTCCTATATAGTGCCTTCTATAGTGTACAATAACTTCGAATGGGTTGGTTGACGGCCAGGAATCAAGGATCTGGAGCTTAAGTAGACTTAAGACACATACGCTTGCTTTTTGGATTCTTTTCAAGTCTCGTCGAGTTTCAGCTACTGCTTGTTGTCTCCTCGCAACGCGCACGAATTTTGAAATTTCTGGTAGCCAGGATTACCGGTCGCTAATCCAGATATCAAATCTTGCGTTTGGGTACTTTATAGATGGTTTTTGACAGAGGAAATAGGATAACGATTATAGGGTGCAAAATGGGATAGATAACGAGGGAGTAAAGGAAACCGCGATCTTACTGATGACGGCTCCTAGGCAGAAGGCCGTTACAAGCGATTTCAATACTTTGCTTCGTCGGTTTATTTTAGTCTAGGATGTATATCATTCAAACGAAGTGCAATATACCAGCATGCTAAAACTCGAGCGTAAACTGTTAGTGCGAAGAGCCATTCACCAATTATTCACTCCAGATCAGATGAGGCGTGGATCTTAAGCGAGCTCAACTCAACTTCGTCTCATAAAACTTTTATTCCAACCTTCTCAGATACTTTGGTTGAGGATTTCGAGAATTTCCTGCTACAGAAACAACCCCAGAACCCAAAGGTAAATTACTGCGGATATCAATTGCTGACGAATCTGCAAATGAAAAACCATTAGGAGCGTAATACGAACGTGTAGAGGATGCATACCAACTAAATGGTTCGTAAATCAAGCTGTTATTACATGGGCACAACTTACACTGACCCGATTAGTCCTAGTATGATGCGATCAAGGCCTATTACGAGTTGATGTAGTTCTTCCTGAACCTTTCATGAGATATCGTGTCAATAAGCTGGAAGAGTAGCAGTGAATAATCTTGTAAATTGATTTTGGGAAATAACATGTGGTCATCATAATGGCTTAGAATAGTGAAAATATCAACCTAATGCTCCGAGGCAGTGTATCACACCCGAAAGACTAGAATAGGGGAAGAGAATTGTTTTCTGTTAGCGTAAGTCAATGTAAGCTACTTGGCAGCCGGTAACCCACCCCCGGGGATCAGGTAAATCAACTTCCCCCTCGCCTAGTTTTGGTGGCCCAAGCTTTAGGTATTTACGCTCGAGGTACCTTATTCGCACATGTCTTATATTATTTTTAGCACCACGCTGTGAAGAGAGTAGTAAACCTCCACAAGCGACAAGAGAAGAGGAACTCTGGCTGTCAGATGTGGTTTTCAATGTAATCCTGGTTTAGGAGTTCCTCCGATTTCGCAAATGTTCGAATTCACTGTACGCGGTGACGCCAGCCACCATACTAATTTCACTCACATCACATTTTCATTCAGACAAATGAATCTCGAAAGCAATCAGCAAAGAGAAATTTTCCATGGCTATCAAAGCCAATGAACCAGTCCAGTCATAAAGTAAGAAACCATGTTAGTGTTTGGTTTCAACACAAATAGCTTTTGTAAAGTCCTTGATCGGAGTTTGCCTGATTTCGATGACCTTCTCGGCCTGATATCATCTTAGCGATCTCGATCGTACAACTACACTGAGTATTGGAGTTAGCTCCGAATCCGATAGATGACAATACTTCACACAGTCACTGGCTAATTCGTAAATCAGAGGTTTTGGACCAAAGCTTTCCCCCTCGAAGGATCAGGGAGGGTTGGAAAAGGGTTATCCGGACCACTTCGTCTCTATCGAGCAGTCCGAAGAGTCAAATGTCTATCGCCAAATGTCAAAAATTTTCAGCTCCGATGGTAGTTCGACCTGGTACATACGATCGATCATGCGATGGCGCGACAACCTTACCATCCAAATCTCCAAGACAGAGTGCGTGAATAAGGTCAGAAATATGCCGCAACAAGCTTGATGTCAAGAGATCAAGCACAATATATTCGAAGCATACGCCTGAATACACTCAAGCGCTTACGGCCGAAGGGAAGAACGTGTCGTCGATCACAACGAAATGGTCGACCCCCTACCACTCTAACTTATTGAAAGATTGGAAATGCGACGGAATAATGTGATGAACACCAAGAAGTTTAGGAGGACTGACTCGTTTCCATTCCAGGAGGACCCGCAAACAGGAGGATTTCCTGCGAAACCAAGAATAAAGGGACGCTCAACGTTGCAGACTCTATCTCCCGTCTTTTCAGGGCTCTGTGTCTCCCGACGTCGATTGCGACGAGAATTTCATACCGAATGAACTCGTTTCTCTGTAACTTCGGAAAGAGTTGACAAGATATCAGAGCATTGTACTTATCAGCATATTTGCCACTTCGAAATCGGTTTTTGTTGGGACCACTTGCATTGTGTTTGTACTATGATCATACTCGGCGAGACTGCGTTGAAATTTCATTTTGATGGACAACTTCCTTTTGCTAGAATTGTCTCGTGGAGATTCCTGGCCCATTTAGGATATTTGACAGGCTATGATTAGACATGATCCTTAGGGAGGTCTGCAATCTATTTTGCCAGCTTCGTCGATCATGGCTCCTTCTCGGAATGTGGAAAATGAGGCGAACAGTCTTGTTTCGGGAGATTTGAACCCATTGATTTGTACAACGAAGAGAGCACACCGTCTTTTGATTTCAAGGGAGAGTGAAAAGGGAGCCAATGGTTTTTCAACCTAGAGAACTGCAGCGCAGTCAAGATTTCCAAGGCAGCTGAGCAAAATTTCCACGTCAGAACGAAAATCAACTTCGAGAGTGACAAATCCACACTTCATGTACGTGAGATCAACACTGAAGAGCATATTTCAGGGCTTGACTATAGATTTTATTGAGTAAGCATCCTCAATCCCATTTTGAGCGCTGCTTCGCGTTATGGCGTTCATGTTGACGTTAGTACCTCGATTTTCACAAGCTCCCAGACAATCAAAACATCCTAAATTTTTGAAGCTTACTAACTAGTCGTTGTTACGAGGGCCCCACTATACAAGAATACATGAGTATCACGCTGTCCAGTACACAGACCCACTGTATCGGCTTGGTCATTGTACCACCGCATTTCGAGCCGAGTTTCCTTTCATTGCTGGCCACGTGCGTTGGCTTCTCTCCCTCGCTATTCCACCCCACGCTTTGGGCAGTCATTTGATATAAACATTGTGACACATACTCCAAGAATTTAAGAAGCTTTGCATGATAGCTAGTACGGCTCAAATCTACCCCGCTGAGCACAGCATCGATCTACTTTGCCTTTGGGGAGGAACTTTGGTCAGGTGTGCGTGGTGTATGTCTGGTGGTGGGATACTGTTGGTGAAGAGCTGAGCCTGACGCTCTGTCATATCAACATTGGCCATAAATTTTGGTGTTGCGTACCGCGGATTGTTGTGCAATGCAAGTCCTGTAGCCATGCAGGCCCATCAGTATTTCGCACTAACCAAATTCCCATTTTGTAATTTAGCAAATGTATACATATCATGGACAGTATATGTGCGGTGTCACCACTTCTATTCCCATGGCGGGGAAATGATAGGAGAGGCCGATTAGAACAATACACACTTGGTGCAGCTTTCTACAAGACAGCTGCTCACTTTCTTATGCCGGATTCTCTGGCATTACGTTTTTACTTTATTTTCTATGCCTCAAACCCCACCCCACTGCTCAAAATATGGTATCGATTCTGTGATACATCGCAAAACAAGCAGGTTATCAAGAATGGCCACAAAAGAAGCCGATCTCGTGCAGATGTCTGACTACTGCATTTAGAAACCTCCTAGAAACCTGCTTTGTAGCAATGTTCAATGACGAATGTCGAGTAGCTTT